AGCCTGGTCGACAAAGTGAGTTCCAGGACAGTCAAGGAGGTTATACAGAGAAACGCTGTCTTGGGTTTAAAAAAAAAAAAAAAAAAAGTAAGAAAAGCACAGTTAAACCAGATTTCCTAAAGTAACGAGGAGGGTGTCCTCTTACTCCCCATATCCACGGTGGTGGCCTGCACGCCATACGCAAAGTTTTGAAAACACTAACTCCATTCTCTCTATTATTTATTATCTCTTCTGTGTGTGAGCATGCACACACATGGGCCACTTGCGCGTAGAGGTCAGTGGACAATGCGCAGAAGTCAGCCATCTCCTTCCATGTGGGTCCCAGGAATTGAACTCAGGTTATCAGATCTGGCAGCAAACACTTTCGCCAGGGGAGCAATGTGCCAATCCTAGTGACTCCGCTCTTCTAAATGAGCAGCACAGATTTGTCCGTCAAATGGCCCCACCAATCCATTACTTAACAAAAATATAAGAGTTATAGCAAGGGGCTAGGGAAATGGTTCAGTGGGGAAAGGAATTTGTCGCCAAGCCTGGTGACCCAAGCTTGACTGAACAGACCGCAGAGTAGAACGGACTCACTCAAGTTGTCCTCCACACTTGTCCCGTGGTGCATGTGCACACACGCACAATAAATAAATGCAATTAAGAAAAGCTAACAGCCAGGCATGGCGGTACGGGCCTGTAATCAAAAGGCTGAAGCAGAGGGGTTCCAAGACTTAGGTAATCCTGGACACTCAGCAAGTTCCAGGCCAGTCTGCTCCATATGGAATGAAAGAGTGAGTGAGTGAGTGAGCGAATGAATGAATGAATGAATGAGCGAACGAACGAACACCTCAGACACCCGAAATCTCAGACACCTGAAATGAACACTAAGAGGTCATTTTAACACATTTCCACATTTCATTAAATAAAACTCTCCAGAGAACTGTCAAAAGATTACTGTAATGCCAAGATGAACAAGCAATTACTACATTCAAGCAAGTCCTCATCTCTAGCCACCACATCTAATGCTGCAGAAACCCTGTTCCTACAAGTCTCGCTTGGGTCCAAGCCTCCCTCCCTTTCTCATTTCACCCTAAATTTCTTACTACTTTAACAAAGCCCTCTTTAAAGTCAGAAGTTTAAAGCTTCTTCTAACACAGCAGGAAGTCAAGAGATACAACCTAAAGTAGATGGTTTAAAGCCTGTAAGTTGAGTTTTTAAGCCTCTAAAAGTCAAGGCTTAGGTAGGGCCAGCACGATGGTTCAGTGAGTAAATGTGCTTTGCTGCTTGATGTTAGCCTGATGACCTAAACTCGATGCCTGGAGCCCACATAAAGGTGAGGGAGAAAAGCTCCCTTCTTAAAGTTACCTATCCTCTGCCTCCACACTCAGCCACCTTGCTGCTCATGTGCCCACACACATGCAATAATACTTTTTTAATTTAAATAAACATTAAATTTAGAGAAGATTAAAATTTTAATATCAACATTTAAGCTCATCATTTGAAAAGTAGAAGGCATCTAATAAACAAAAATAACTAAAAATCAGAATGGGGGACGAAAAAGTGAAAATATGTCAATGACACTCATTCATTTCAGGCAGGAAAAGCTGACTTCTGTACTCATTATCCAAAGTGATGATGTCATTTTGGTTGAGAGAGACATGATGGAGCAGAGCACGGTGGCATACATCTATAATCCTAGCACCTGGCAAGATAAGGCAGGAGGAGTCTGAAGCCTCCCTGGGCTACAGAAACCAACAGAAAGAAATGATATAAGCCTACTAACTACTTGGGAGAGCTGAAGAAAAACATGAACTGCAAAAAAAAAATCAATGCGTAGAAGTAGCAGCCTGTGCTAGGGGACAAATATTGGGAGAACATAAGACAAGGTAGCAGAGATCAGCATGATTAAAGTGTGTATGTACATGTATGAGGACACCATAAGGTGCCCTATTATTTTGCATAAAGTATGTTTATTTTCTTAAGGTAGAAGGTGAGACTAAGGCTAAGAAAAAATTGTGGGCTGGAGTTGTAGCTCAGCTGGTAGTGCTCATCCAGCATGCAAAAGTCCTCGGTTTGGTCAGGCTTTTAATCCCTCATTGGAGGCGGTCCTGAGTTCAGTTCTCAGCACTGCATAAACTAGATGTGAAACTCACACCTGTAATGCCAGAATCAAGGAGGCAAAAGGTTCAGAAAATCAAGGTCATCTTCCCTGCATACTTCAGAGGCCAGACAGAAACCCCTGTCTTCAAAACAACAAAGAAGTAAGCTGGAGGTGGTGGGGCACACCTTTAACCTGAGCACCTGGGAGGCGGAGGCAGGCAGGTCTCTGTTGAATTTTAAGCCACCAGAACAGCCGGGGTTCCATGCTGAGACCCTGTCTCAGAAAAGGGAGAGGGGACTAGGGGACAGAGCAGGCAGCGCTGTCTCGACAGCAAAACTTCACTGGGCAGGGGTTGCTTTTCATTGTTAATCCCCTTAGAACAGTTTTCAAATCACGTACATACTCGCATCATTTGCATGAAGCAACATACCTTCCTTAGGTGCACTGCAGTAAAAGAACAGACAATATTCAGTGCTAGTACACAGGAGGAAAACTGAGCCTCTCACCACACCGTGGCGACTATAAAAATGGGTGCATCCTATCAAGTAAGCGCTTCTTAAATGTGACCAGCTCGGGTTGAAGAAAAAGCTAATCAGTTAAGAGTGCTTCCTGCCCTTCCAACAGACCCAAGTTCAGTCCCCAGCACCCATGCCAGGCAGTTCAATACTTCCTGTGGCGACAGCTCCAGGGTGTCCAACATTCTCTCCTTGGGCACCTGCACACCCACTGCACACATTCACACAGACAAACACATACACATAAAAATAACATTTTTTGAAGTGAGAAAATCTAAATGCACTGACAGGAAATTCTCCAAGTTTTTTTTTTAAATATAAACTCCGATTGTTTATATAAGAAAATTTGTTAATGAAAGAAATCTCCCCACCTTAAATAATATCTTGGCTAAAGAAATGAAATTCTTGCTACAACTGAATGACAACTGAGTTCCCTTCAATTTCCCAAATCTCACTCCATCTTCCCCAGTAATCTCTTTTCCTTCAACTTCCATAAAAAGTCACATTTAACACATTTCTCTTCAGTTGAAGTAATATTACAACATATCATGTATGTGGTTTCTCTTAATAACAAAAGGTGAACACTATCCAGGTAAATTTCAAGACCACTGTCCTAGACCAGAGTGATGCATGCCTTTAAGGAGGCAGAGGTAGGTGGATCTCAGAGTTCAAGGCTAGCCTGGTGTACAGAGCAAGTTCCAGGACAGCCAGAACTACAAAAAGAAACCCTGTCTCCAAAACAAAACAAAACAAGACAAGACATTGTCCTCAACCCATGTTCCTTCTTGAAAAATCAGGTCTAATGTGAACTAAGTAAATGCAACAGAAAGAACTTCATTTCCTGACAGAGAGATGCTAACAGTCCCTCCCGATCGGACCTATACTCATCCTATCACGTAGGGTTTCCTAAGGCGTTATGATAACCACTCCCGACCTCCTTACGACCTAAGGTGAACACAGATATTCCAGAGAACCTCCATTCTGCATGCCTACATTTTGCTGGCAGATGCTATTTTCTTCAATAACACCATGCCCCGGTGACAGAGTGCATCCGAAATTGTGAATGGAAAAGGATCTCCCGCCAATCCGAGATATAGAACCGATTCAACTAGACTCCGTTAGGCTAGAAATAAAGCCTCCAAAAACAGGACTCTAACGCCCCAACTCTCGACGTGGTCAATCATAATCTTGGGTCCTGCAGCCTCGGCTGACATACTGACATACGGCACCAGCTCTTCTGAAACCATGTAGGCTAGGCAGTGAAGAAGAAAACCGCCAGGCCGAGTTAATTCCTACTCCAGTGTCTGCCAGGGCGATGTTCATCCAGCCTCCGGTGACTATACTCCAAATCTGCTAACATTCTAAACTCTGTGGCCTCAAGAATCCCCATAGGCCAGGCGGTTTCTCAAGGTCTCTCCAAGATTTTCAGTTCACTAGTGCGGCACTAAAATGTCTCAAACCAATCTACAGGCTAAGTGACTAATTCTCAATGACCCCAACCACAGCGGGGACCCACACTTACCGGATGTCATCTACCGAAGAGCCCAAACAGGTTCCGAACTAGGCCACTCTGGCCCATCTGGAATAACTCTTTAGACCTTGGGCCAGCATTTGATAATTATGCTACATCTGTCTATTCTATTATGCATTCCCTGCATCTTCTCCAATATTTAGCACTCCTCTGGCTTCAAACGCATCTCTCTTCTATCTGCAGAAACTACTCTAGCCTTCTTTTCCCTGCCTTGGAAACGCTTCGGTTCTTTCCATAATGAAACACCTAACAGAGCTGCACAATGAACACCCCCAGAATCCTCAAGACTGCTCCACAGCCACCCCCGGCATTCCTCCACCTCTCCGGCATCTTCCCCACGGCCCCTTTCTCCCCTCTCGCACTCCCACTCTGCTTCCTGCAAGCAATCCCCTTTCTCCAGCCCCTGCCCTTCCCTGCAGCCAAAGAGCACACCGAGGCAGCAGCGGCGACCGAGGCCTGCGGTGCATAAAGCACTGCACCAAGACGGCGGAGAGCTTCGGGGTCTGGCTGGCCTCCTCGCCCACAGCCTGGCACCCCGAGGCCTCCCCGTGAGCATCCCGTCTCCTTCCTACCCGACACCGGCCGCAGGCCTCGGAGGCCGCCCGCTCGCCTCCGCCGCCCCCGTCATTCTCCGTTCTCCAAGCCCCGACCCACCATCCTCGCACCGCTTCCTCGCGTCCCCCAAGCCCCGCGCTCCCGCGGCCTGCACCCGCCGCCGCCGCCGCCGCCTCCCGGGCCGCCCCCCCCCCCCCCCGGGCTGGCCCGCCGCTCCCGCGGGTCAGGCCGTCGCCGCCGCGCTCCCCACCGCGCGCCGCCCCCTCCCCTCCCCCGCCCTCCCGGGCCCGGGCCTGCCAGGCCGAGCGTTTACCGCGGGCTGGCGCCGAGGCGCGCGGTCACTGACTGCAGGCGGCGGCGACTCCGACCTTCCCACGGGCCCGGCGAGGAGGGCGAGGGGGAGGGGAGAGAACTTTTGCTGTGGCAGCTCCGGCGACAGCTCCCACCCCTGCGCCTTTCTCCTCTTCCTCCCCCTCCTCCTCCTCCTCTTCCTCCTTCTCTTCCTCCTCCCAGAGCAGTCGAGAGGCAGACATGGCGCGGCTAGAGCGCCGCCGCGGTCGCCGCCGCTGCCGGCGCAGTGCATTGTGGGAAGCCCCGCACACAGGAAGCGCTCCGGGCCGCCCGCCCTCGCCTGGCGCGGACAACTGGCTGCGAGACCCAGCGTGGCTTCGATTCCGGCGCTTGCGTGTCAGCAGCGCAGCGTGTCCAGGGAAGCTGGACCCGCGCCGCGGGTGCCCCTGATGGGCCTGGAAGGAAGACGCTTTGAAATAGATCGGAGCTGAGAAAGCTCCTGGGAGGAACGTCCTCCCTTTGAGGCTGAGTGCGTGCTTGGCGCCCCGAGAAGTGAGAAATGGGGATTGATGGCTGTCCAGGCCCTGGGAAGTGGAAAGGGGCGGGAACGTAGAGGAAAGGTTTAGCCAGGATTTCTAGGATCTTTCTTTTATCCTCTCACCTAGCTTCTCCTCTGCGACCCCAAGTGTCACCTTTCCAGAAGGCGCAGCCCTGCACCCTCGAAACTTGGAAAGCTTTGTTGGTGTCTGCAAAACTTGATGCAGGATGTGGGCACCTAGAAAAAGCAAGAAAAGACCCCGGTCAGGACTTATTTGGGCCCAAACCTCGGTCTTCATGCCAACAAAGACTTGGTTATGATCTATACAGACCCAAGATTGCTTAGCTGTCCAGTTTTTTTGGAGTCCCTTTAGTGACCTTCACTAAATCATGGCCTTCCTTGAGAGTGCCGTCAGTTAACCAACCTCAAGGCCCTGAGTTGCCTATAGCAGGGCGTACAATTACCTTTGTATCCACACACTAGTACAAGGTCAGCGAGGTAACCTAAAATGTTCAGTGAATGCTGAACGGTTATCTGGAACTCTGCGTGAGATGGAGCACCGTCATTATGATTTGTTCATCACAACCTCAAGGCTTTATTTAGCACCTCTCGGCAATACTTAAACATAACCTTTGAGGTGAGAGGGAAGGGACGTTAAAGTAGCTACATAACCATTTCTGGAATTCTCTCCTTGTCCACACCCACCTCCCCACCCCTGAATGTTCATTTGAATAGCGCTTTTGGCAAACCTCCAACCTCCCGCATTATGCGCTTGCAATGACACTGAATTAGATTACTGTCTGCAAGGTTAATATTCCCCCAGGCGTTAACCTTAGTCGGGATGCACGTTTGAAATAGCTGAGGCCCAGAAGTTCAGCTGAATTCAAACACAGTTAACTAAGAAAAGCAAGGATGAGCCAACAGTTCCACAATAAACTACATGAGCCTTCTCCACTAAAAAAATATATATATAAATTTTAATAAGATGACAGTGCATATTCTGAATGCTAATTGTAACCAAACAGCGATATAAGCTAAAGAGAGGGACAGTTATCTGGAGGACAGCCTTCTGGCAACTTGTAGCAACTGCAATGGCATCAAATTCAGATGTAAAAAACCTCGGGCAGCAAAGACGCCAACTTTCAGTTTTAAGCTGTGCAGAAGCTAATAACGAGAGAGAACTGAAAGCCTAGGGTTACACCCACTGGCCTAAGGTGGCTAGGGTTGCCACTACTAATACGTCGAATTCTTTCTTTCTGAACATAATTAAAAGACAATGAAGAACCGGGTGTGGTGTTGCAGGCCTGTGATCCCAGCACAGGGAGAGGCAGAGGCAGGTGGAGATCTGTGAGTTCAAGGCCAGCCTGGTCTACAAATCAAGTCCAGGACAGCCAGGGCTACACAGAGAAACCCTGTCTCGAAAAACCAAAAAATAAAAGAGAGAGAGAGGGACAATGAAGAAACAACCATCTAAAATGGGCAAATTGAAGAAGACTACAGACCATGACAGTCTCCAAAGTAATAAACCTAGAAATACCTCCGGCCCATTTGTTTTCCATACTGCCGTTGCTTACCTTTCCAATGCCAGTTTTAACCACTCAGCTTGCTTCCTTTCCATCTTCCTTTTTTTGTTTGTTTGGTTTTTTGTTTTTGTTTTTTTGAGACAGGATTCCTCTGGGTAGCCCTGGCTGTCCTGGAACTCAATCTGTAGACCAGGCTGGCCTCTAACTCAAAGATCCACCTGCCTCTGCCTCCCATGTGCTGGGATGAATGGCATGTACCACCACCACCCAGCAATAAATAGCATTTTAAAAATAACTTAACTGTAGACTGTAAGTTACAAATAGAGGCTGGGTGCGGTGGCTCACAAGCCTGCAATCCCAGCACTCAGGGAGGCAGAGGCAGGCAGATCTCTGTGAGTTCAAGGCCAGCCTGGTCTACAAAGTGAGTCCAGGACAGCCAGGGCTACATAGAGAAACCCTGTCTGGAAAAACAAAACAACAACAATAACAAAAAGTTACAAATACAGTGCAAAACAGCCCACTTATTTCTTCACCCAGCTTTTCCCAATGGTATGACATAAGACTATAAAAAGACATCTAGCACCTGTAGGTGCTTGTACCTAGATGCAGAGCCTTTGTGTTTCATATAATTTGCCACACAAGTGTTCATTTGTTTTTATTGCTGAGTAGTGTTCTTATTGTGTGGCTATACCAGAGCCCATTCATCTCTTCCCCATGTATATACAAGTTGTTTCTAGCTTATTTGATATTGTTTAAGCTGCTGTGATCGTTGTTACACAGAGTTTGATTTTGCTTAATGGTTGGTTCTTAGCAGTGCTGGGGGTTAACCCCTGGGCCTTACATGTACTAGGAACAAACTGTACTACCGAGCTACATCCCCTGTCTGTGTATATAGGGCTCTCTGTAAACTTAAGCTTCCCTTTATCTGGTATAAATGCCCAAAAGTATGACTGATGTGCCATATGATACATGCATTCTTTTCTTTTTCCCTCTTTCTTTTTTTAAAATTTTATTTTATGTGCATTGGTGTTGTGCATGTATGTCTGTGTGAGTGTATCGGATCTTGGAGTTATAGACAGTTATGAGCTGCCATGTGGGAGCAATTCTCAGCAGAATTGGAACTTGGGTCCTCTGGAAGAACAGTGCTGTGCTCTTAACTGCTGAGTCATCACTCTAGTCATCATCCTTCCTTTCTTTCTTCCTTCCTCCCCTCCCTCTCTCCCTCCCTTTTTCTTTCTTCTTTTCTTTCTTTCTTTTCTTTTTTCTTTTCTTTCCTTTTCTTTGAGACAGGTTTTTAGTATTTAGCCCTGGCTGTCCTAGAACTTGCTGTGTATATCAGGCTGGCCTTGAACTCATGAAGCTCTTCCCCTCCTGTGCTTCCTGTGGGCTGGGATTAAAGGGGAAGGCCACCACCCTCAGCAGCATACTTTTCTTAAACTCCTATACTGAGTTCGGGGGTATAGCTCAGTTGGTAGAATGTTTGCCTATCTTACGAAAAGCCTTGGTTTCCATCCCAAGCACCTCATAAAACTGGGCCTGGTGGCCATGCCTATACTCCCAGCACTGAGCATGTGGAGGCAGGGGGATCAGAAGTTCAGTGCCATCCTCAACTATATAGTGAGCCCAAGGCCATTCTAAGATATATGAGAGCCTGTTAAAGAAAAGAGGAAAAGAAGGAGAGAGGGAGGAAAAGAAAGAAACCATTATACTATGTTCCTAAGTGAGTCTATCATTTAAGATAATTTTATCACATTTATTTATTTGTGTGGGTGGGTGGGGTACATGCCACTTCAAATGTATGAACATCAGAGGACAACTTGCTGGGGTAAATTCCCTCCCTCCACTATGTGGGTCTAGGTCATCATGCCTTTCGCCACTGAGATATCTCAGCCCTGGTTCTGACATTTCCCGTCCAGGGGTAACATTTGAGAAGTCCTGTCATTCCCCATCCTTGCTGGCATTCTCAAGTAAGTGGTGTAAACGAATATTATTTTAGTTTAGTTCTCTTCCTTTAAAACAAAAGTAAAGGGGCTGGAGAGATGGCTCAGAGGTTAAGAGCACTGACTGCTCTTCCAGAGGACCTGGGTTCAATTCCTAGCACCCACATGGCAGCTCACAACTGTAACTCCAAGATCTGACACCCACAGGCATACATGCAGACAAGACACCCCGATGCAAATAAAATAATTTAAGAAAAAAATAAAAAACAAAACAAAGGCTTCTCTACAGACTGCTGAGAGGACTACGCTTTCCTGACTCCTGCTTTTACTCTTGGGCTTGCAAAAGTACACAGACACCTTTAGTGGAACGATTTCACGACAGGGAAACAACTGGTAGGAAGTCTCCTAAAGTAGCATAGTTTGTGTCTTCCAGCTTTTTAATTTCCCTCTCCTATCTCTGTGCACGAGGGGTGGGGTGCAGTTCATGCCATGTCAGATGTCAGTCTCTCTTCCCGCCTTTATGTGGATCCCAGAGATAGAACTCCGATCACCAAGCTTGCATGGCAAATACCTTTACCCACTGAGCCATCTTGCCAGCTCTTGACTCTTGTTGAGATGGCGCTGGATCTTTCTCTTCAATGGATCTGCCAATTACTCTTGCAACACGGTTAGTATTAAGGTGTTCAGGAGCCACACAGGTAGTGAACGCCACATGCAACAAGCCAAGCAGGTGAGGCAAAGTGAGTGAAGCAGATGAGGAAACAATTGATAGTGAAAGGGACTGAAGAGACAGCGTACTCCAACTAATCTAAAGGTCACAGTCACTCGGTACCAGCTGACATTTTCCAGGTTAGGAACATGAAAATGAGGAAAGAAGAGGAATCGGGAATCTTAAATTGAGGGTGAATTAGGAACTGTTTTTAATGAATTATCATTATTTTATGTGCTTTAATGTTTTGCCTGTGTGGGGGTGTCAGATCTCCTGGAATTGGAGTTACAGACAGCTGTGAGCTGCCATGTGGGTACTGGGAATTGAACCTAGGTCCTCTGAAAAAGCAGCTAATGCTTCTCCAGCACACACACACACACACACTTTGTTTTTTAAGTCTCTTGTAGCCCAGGCTGGCTTAAAACTTGCTGTGTAACTGGACTGGCCTGGAACTTCTGATCCTCCCACCTCCACCTCCCAAGCTAGGTTAACAGATGTGTACCAAC